AATTTTATTTGAATTCAAACTAATAAATAAATAAATATAATTTCGATATTTATCTTTAGTAGATTTGTCATGATCTTTGGATTCACAAATTCCATGACTCTGAAATCCTTTGCTCTATCAAACTTCTCGCTGTCAATATCTATACCAATGATCCTTGAAGGTCCTGCTGCTTTTGCACCCTTTGCAACAACAAGACCAACAATCTCCATTTGGGCATCATCAAAACTCGCAGAAACTGTTCAGAAATAACATCCCTTTCATCCATATACTATCAATCTGGAGGTTACCATCTTCACCAGTGCCTCCCTCTCCATGTGCAAGAGGTCTCCACATATCTCCCGCAAAAGGAAATGTTTTTGCATTGGAGTAGAAAGGTGGTTGGCCCCCGTCGCTTTTCTTTGTGCCATCATCGCGGTTCAATCGCGTCTGGCCCGGTCTGCCTGGGGCATTGCATGTGGATCCTCTCTATTCAACACCAAAGCGTTGGAAAACTGTCGGAGGGTGTCCTCAAACTGATGGAATTTGTCAGCAAAACCCATCTTTATTATGCTCAAACTGTTCTATACCCCTCCCAAACTGATTTTCAAGTTTTCTATTCTTTCTTTTTTGGTAGTAATAACTCTGATACTAATTGATAGGTCCAAATCAGAAGCCAATAGAAATTTGTAAAGAAATTCTCTTAGGGTGAGAATGAACCACAAGTTTTTTATTCAAAAATTGCCTTCCCCATTTCTGTTCATCGACATTTTTAAATACACAAAAAATATAACTGATGGTTCCTACTTTTCAGTAACTAAGATAATGGAAAACGAACATGAACTTAAACATGGGTTAATGGCTTCAATTGCTTGCTTACCGAGTCTATCGCAATGGCTGGTTCTACTGCTGCAGATACTTTGGGTTCCTCTTGGCTTTCAGTGGGGACATCGTAGTGTAACAATGCATGAGCTGCAAGTAGTACGGTGGTTATTCAGGACACGATTTGAGGGTCCAGTTCTGTCTAATCAGTTTATTATGAGTGATTCCATATTCAAATAGTCTTATGAATGTTTGAAATTGTTTATCGATATGTCAATACATTTGTTTATGGTATTACAAAGATCTAAATTCTAAATTAACCTTTTAAATGAAATATTTTTTTTATTGTTAATGTAAATAATTAGATGATTGCATGATTTTTGGGCTGGTCTTGAGACAGATCACTTTTAAGGTGGGCTGGTTGATGGATTTTAGTTTTGATAGAGTGAAAACAGAAACAAAATTCACCTTAATCAATGATGTATCTGAGTGATGAAAAACAGTTCACATGCTTAATCTTGCAGCTTATTGGATCAAGTGTTTAGCTGGCTTGCTGGGTAACAAATTCTAGTTTCTGAGCTTCAAACTAAATATATAAAGCTTCTTCCTAGATCACTCAGTTAAGGTTAAGCAATTTCTACTGTATAAATGTGCATGTTCATTTGACTATACATTTTTCAAATAGTTTCCTCCTAAAATTATGATTTAATTTGTGAGCTTAAAAGTAGTTGGGTTAATATAAATAGTTGTAGAAAAGATCTTCAAGAGCTAATCTCAATACGTGTATCTGCAGGAGAGCCTCCAAAGCGGTTTGAGGAGGTTAAACATTACCTCAGTGGTAATTTTTTTGATCCTTCTTTTGTTTTTATGATTTTATTTTTACTGTAACATCACTAGGAAACAGAATGTTTTGTTGTCTGTGTATTCTTTTTTCTTTCTCTTAATCTTAATTGGTGTTGTCAATTTGTATTTCTCCAATTGCTCCTTATATTTGAACTTTTTTCGTTTGACAAGTTTCTGAAATGGATGGTGCTATATCCTCCTAGGTTCACGTTTCTTTGGATCATGAAATCATGAACTGAAAGCAAATTGTCAAACCATTTTTTTACATGATTACATGCCAATTTCTTTGTAGTTTTTACTGTTTGGTTGACAGTTGTTTAGTTAATAATTGTGCAAAGTTGATTGCAATGATCGCGGCTATTCAAAATTGTGGTCCACATTTATATTTTGATAAAAGGTTTTCGCTCACTCTAGGTTTACGGCCACGCAAAGTTTATATTTTGTTTCAAGTTTAGTGCCCATACTAATTTGGGTTTGAACCAAGAACTCTCACAAACTAAAGCTCTAAAGTGGGGAAGAATATATTTAGGGCCAGAGACTGCTAATTGGTAAAGGAAGACGAAGGTCGATATCTAATATTTATGCTTGTGCTTGAGAGAGTGGGGCATACCTAGAGCCACATGTCTAATGCAGAACATGTTTGAATTGATTTTTTTTTTCTCTAATTTATGGTCTTGGTTGTCTTATGCTGCAGCCAACATTCCATTTCTATCAAGGTGGGAAAAAGGCAACTGAAGTTATTGGTGCTGATGCTGCACGTTTGAGGGATACAATGGAGCAGCTCTACAAGTAATTCTTAACTGGTTTACTTTGCACGTGACTATTTCATCTGTTTCCTGAGTATCACAGCAAATTGGTTGGGGTATCCATTTACAAATTAGTATTGGGGGTTTCATATGGTTGACGAGGTGTCTTGTTAAATACCTCTTTCTATATTTGATTCCAACTTTTATATTCTGTTAGGAACTAAATAGTATACAATCACTTTGTTTTGAGACAAATCTTTTTTCTTTCAAGGAAAAAATAAAATTGTTTTGCTGTACTGGGGCTAACTTACCACTTGAAGGATTCACCATGCATGGGCTTCTGTTTGTCTGAAATGGCAGTACACACCTGGACCCATCTTTTCGCTGTTTGACTCAAACGTAGTAATGGCATAAAGTAGGATTAGGAATATAGTAGCTATTGATGGAATAAGGTTAGAATGTAAATAGTAATTTGTTCTTTTTTTTTTTTTTTATTAAAGCTGGGTGAATTACTAATAGTTAAGTAGAAATGAAAATTGAACTCCAAAAAATTGAAGGTAGGGGTGAAAATGTCAAGTGATGAAGACCAAATTAAATATTTATCAATCACATCTGCTATGTGAGTGGTTATGTGACGTTTAAATAGATATCATAGTTGCCTAAGTAGAAGCTCTTAACAACGTGAAAACAAATTATTTGAAAGCTTCTACGTAGAAGTGTGCGCCTACACTAAATGTTTTGGTTTTTTCTTTTTTGTTTGAAGAATATTCTATCTATTTTGAACTTGTTAAGTGAGCTCAATATATGGCCTTACAAATGGACTGAATTTGATGTTTTTTTGACGAGTAAGAACCAATTTTGTTGTTTCAAGTCAAGTGACTCTGGACTTAATGAAGAGCTCCCACATCCCATGCTCGCGATGGGACTTCTGAAAAGTAAATCAATTCTATGCCCACTTCCCCCTTTTTTTTTTTTGTCAGTGGTCTGATCCAGTACTTTTATAGGTCCTTTTCATATTGCCTTTAGGCTATTGACCTGCTTTTATAGGTGATGAGGAAGCATTCATGCTGCCAAGCTAAGGGGTTGACATTGGGCTTCACAATCATTTTCTTGCTTTTCGTTTTCCAGGAAGGGTTGAATAGACGGGAGCTGGTTACTGAGACCTGATTGATGGCACTTTATTTTGCTGAACTTGTAACCAAGTTAATAGACAAATAATTAACGCAGTGAAAGAAAATAAGTTGGTTGGTGCGTTTTGGGCGGGGGAGCCATTAGAGAATTAATTGCCTTGCCTTGAGCTTCACTCACTCTGTATTCTATATGTTAAGCATGCGGCATGTGGAATTCATATGCATTAGCTCTTGAGTTCCCTTGGCACTATCTTGTGAATGTTTTAATCTACCTTTTTTTTTTTTTTCTGTAAGCTATCTTTTTCAGTCGTCTCTGTTGAATCCGGCGGGTATTTCCTGGTTTTAGACCCATACTCAGAGTTAACGAAACTCAAGTGTGTATTTGATTTTGGAGTTAAAGACTTCTTTTTATTTTCATAATATACAGAAAACTTTTAAATATTTAAACAGTTTTAACTATTTAACGAATGGTTTGAATTGAGTTTTTAAATCTTAAGACTTCAAAAGAAATTTTCCAATCTCTTCTTTTATTTACTGTTCAGCCAAAGATAATTTTCTATTTTTGTGTAAATTTTTTTATCAATTTATATAGGAAATATAATATAAATTAATTCTCAAAGTTTTTAGAGTATGAACATGAGATAACAATGAGGTTACTTTCTGATTATGTATGAAATGTGAATGAGTATATAATATCAGGTAATGATGAGCCAGCAAATAAAGTAAAGAGGGAAGAAAAGAGAACGTATACTCCTCGGATAGGTGGGGGGGGGGGGGGGGGGGGTGGGTTTGGCCGCATCATTTGTGCTTATATTCTCTTTTTTAAGTCAATCATTTGAGATTTAATTGTTTTCTTCAAAGTATTACATATGTTTAATTGTTCACAATATCCAACTCATTACTCATTCGTGTTTTTTGAAATATTATTCATTTATTTATCAAGATGTCAATTTCACCTTTCACTCGCGTTCCTTCGAATAGTATTGTCTGTTTATTAAGATATCAAACTCACTTTTTATTTACATTCCTTTAAACACTAAAATTTTCAAATATTTCATCACACATTTCTTGCAATGTTGTAAAAAATATATATATAATGTTTACAACGTTTTCCTCTCAAATAGTATATTTACAAATGATAAGCACACTTAGGACTCAATAGTAAATTAAGAGAATAAGATTTTTTCTTCTATTTTTTGAAATTGATTTTCTTCTATATTGTAAAATATGTAAGAATGAATTATTTAAATGTATAAAAGTCAAATATAGCATTGGAAGTCTTTTTTGTGAATTAAATTTGACATTTAAAAGAGTTAAAATCATATTATTTAAAAATTCAAAATTTTCTATGTGACATGATGTAAAGTCCCAAAATCTTGGGTAAAATAAATTTAAATTAAAGATGCAGAAGCGTATAATAATGTTAAGGTTTACATTCCTTACATATAAATTAGAATGCCCAATAGGGTTACAGAAAATGTTTCTTTTATAGCGGTTCATAAAAAAAAATAAATAAACGTATGAAAATAGTAAATAAATGTTGTAGAGAGGTTAACCTCCAGTACCTCTTGATAGGATTCGGGGGACACCTATCACAGCCCTTCTGCTGGTTAGGATCTGGATCTGGATCTTGATCTTCTTAATCTGAAATACTTAATAGGGGTGAGCTACACTAACTCAATAAGAGTATCACACTACTCACCGATACAGAAACTGAAGGTTGGTAAAAAAAATATAAAACGACTAATGGAGTTCTTAATTAAAATAAGTTTATTTATCATAAGAAAAACCATTTATTGCATACGTATCATTATGAAATTTTCAAAATCGACCTATAAAGACAATAACTCAAATAACATTATGATTTCATATACAAGTGAAAGAGAACAATAACTTTTTCTTTTATCTATTTACTGGTACATCTAGGGGTACATAGGGATATCCCTCTACGCGTGAACTCAACATCTAAACTCATCAATTAACCGGTCGTTCTCATACTTCGTCTGGTATGAGCACAAAAAATGTCATCCCTCGATACCCCGTCTACTATGAAGGTGAACCAGGCCGTCTCTATACTCTGTCCGATATGAGCACCAAAAATGTCATCTTTCGATACCCCGTCCGGTATGAGGGTGAATGCCCGCATCTCCATATCCTGTCTGGTATAAGCGCCAAAAATACCATCATTCGATACCCCATTCGATATGAAGTAACGTTCACGATAGGGTTCTCTATGTATCCAATTCGTCCACTATCCTCCAAAATATTCAATAAGACAACTATTTATTAATTCACATAATCAAGCAATTTTTCATTCATATATTAATTTCACATTTTACAAATCAACCGTAAATCATGCAAAATAAGCGATGTATGCATTAAGGAAATACAACTGAATTATTTAACTGTTTCAATATATTATCATGTATTTAAGCTATACAAGTAAATAATCAGTTAAACAAGACAAATAAATAACTAACAGATTTCGGCTCCATTAGTGACCTGTAATTATTCTCAAAAAAAATTAAATTTAATAAAATATCATATTATTGATTATTAAGCTTCAATTTCATAACAGAAAATAGGGTGAGGAATTCTTACTAGAATCGGTGTCTAAAACACCGTATTCTCTACCGCGCATCCTGTCGGTTCATGAATTTAGTAATTTTTTCTATGGAGATTAAACACGTTTTACGTACTTAAAAAAAATACCCCAAAAATTCAAAATCGGTATTAAAAATATATTTAGGCTAATTTAGGA